TTCAGCCTGTACTATAATTCCCATTTCGGTTCCTCTATGATAGAGTTACTGAGCCAGATTAAATTTAAATTAATTGTATTATCTTTGACACTAATCACATTTTAGTTGATTTTGACTGTTCTTGTTAATTTATTACGTGCTTATTGACTTTGTTAGCATCAGAGCACGCCTTTATGTTCTAAGTATTGTCTGTATTTTGTTACTTTCAGATACTGTAATTGGCTTCACATCTATCGGGGGAGGGGGGCTATTTCCTTTCCTAAATAAGTAAACCCTCATAGGTCCATTGTGGAGAGATTGACAAGTTAGGAGATAAGCACACAGAAACTAGCGAGAACATTGGTTGCATATTGAGGCAAATTTCTAATAGTGTCAAAAAGATCGAAATTAAAGAGAAAATCAATATAAACTACCAGAATGTTGGGAAGGCTTTAGAGACATTAGGTTTTTTGAAAGCAGGAAAGATAAAAATTAACAACGCCTTCGCCGGGAATCAACCACGGCCTCTGAATACCGCTACCGTGTGAAACCACTACAACCACGAAGGGTCACCAAGAAGGTGAGAAATACCCTTAAACTCCCCCTTTTAAATGCAAGGGGTGTTTGGGAATCCAATGCCAAATCCTTTGTGTGGAAACCATCAAATAACCTCAACACATCAAGTAAACTTTTCTTTGCGTCTACTTGAGACTTATTAACAACTTATCACTCTGGGTTTAATGGCGTATTGACCTAAAGTATATTAACTGGTTACAACCCCTGGAACTCTACACAAAGCTGTGACCTAACTGCATAAGCAGAGCTTGACTAACTTTCAACACTTGCCAACTGGCCTACATCAGCCTTTCAGGTTTGTTCCAATCAGCAGGTCCTCTATAGACAAGCAGCAGAGAACAAACATCAGTCTTTTGTTATGAATCATGCTGATTATGATCACTTCTTATTTTAACCTATGCTGTTTGACATAAAATCCCCTTCTATTGCTAAACCTCTAGACTGACCAAGTATTGACAAAATGAGACATTAATTAAAAAAAAAAGCATAAAGTTAACTATTAATAAAACGTAAATGTACTTCTCTTTTTAAATATGTCCAACTATTATAAGTGTAAATATTTAATGCTACTTGATAACTAAACGCATGAATTTATTTTATTCTCAAACTTATTAATAATATGTTAGTTAATCATGGTTAGTAATAAGCTACTACTTAGGGATCTATTTATTTTTAGGATGGTATTACAAAGTGAAATCAGGCATAGAATAATATTTTTAATTGAATTTATTCAGTTTCCCTTTGCTCATAGGTCCTTAATTTTTTTCATTAACGGTCCTTAAAAGTCTTTAAAAGTACTTTAAATTTCCATGTGCAGAAATGTGTACAAACCCTGTTTGTTATGTATGAGAATAAGAGTCTTCTCACCCCCTGAGATTTTAGCTGAAGTAAACAGATATATAAGGTGGTTTCCTGAGAAGAGAGAACAACTTTCCTGTTTAGAGCTATGGGCAGGTTGACCTGCTAAGAACGATCCTTCCTCGTGTATAATGCGCTAGAGCATTTTTCCTGTAACAAAATTCTGAAATTACGGGACTAAATATATCTAAGTCCCATATTGTCAAGATATGCAACTGTTAAGCTTTTCATCTTATTAAAATTCATGTTAAAACTTGAGTTTGAAGTTCACTCCAACCCTGTGTCACAACCCAGGGTTTGTTGTTAGCAGTTTCGGCAACTACACCACATCTGTATCTGGTAGACTAGTCGCCAAGTGGTGCACAAATGAGCTCCTACCAGTGTGCCAAACCATCACGGCAGGGCTGTACTTGCAGCAGTTGGAACATGTGCATCAGGCACTAATGCATAAAGAGCCAGCATTGGTCAATCGTAAGAATGTACTGCTCCTCCTTGGCAATGCCAGAACACATGTGGCTCGGCCGGCCAGGAACACCATCCAGTGACTGGGAGACACTACCCCATCCACCATACTCCCTAGACCTTGCGCCAACATACTACCACTTTTTCCATTCCTTGGACAACCATTGTTGTAGGAAATCCTTCAAGAACTGGCCAGACCTCGAAAAGGCCCTCACGGACTTCTTCGCGTCCAAGACTCCTGAGTTTTACCGTGATAGTCTCGCACAGCTAGCCACTCTTTGGATGCCGATGGTGATTACTTTTGAAATTAGTGTTGATTATTATTTGTTTTATGCATTTATGACTGTACTAAACTGCAAGAATTTTTTTGGTTACCTTGTATATGAAATTTTTCGTCCATAATACTGAGAGGGTTAAAAGTAATATAAAAAAGTATTACAGAGTATTTATAACTTTAAAAAGTGGATTTCGTAAAATGGTTAAAATATGCATAGAAATATTTTAAAAGCTGTATTTTATTACCTAATATTTTTATCATAAATTTCAGTAAGCATTGAACATCTTACTGTTAAATTCTTATTATTTCAAATTTTAATAATCTTTTGTTTTAACAGTTTACTTCAGGATTTTTTGACCACTTAAAACTAATTTAATCAAATTCATAAAAAATTAATTGAGATGAAAATATGAAAAATTAATCTTCTTCAGAAGAAATATATTTGTATGTATCCCTAGTGATTTTAACTTAAATAAGATGCTGAAAATCCATGACGACTGTATATTTTACGGCAAGATCCGAAAATATATAATTGTTTCGGTTACCCAGATTTTGTTTCTTAACAAAATTGTAATAGTTGGCATTTCACTGGGATGTATTTATGTCAAGCATTGTGTGCAAGAGATTCATTGGGGAAAAAGTGCTGTTATGTCTTGAATAATTGATTCTTTATTATTAGAATAAGTCTGTATATGCTGATAATTTATCTTGAGGTTCTAACATACAAGATTATACTTGTCTGGAAAGTCAGTAAAATGAAAAAAATACCACAAAATGTCAGGAAAAAATCAGAACTTTTTCTTAAAAACGTAAAAGTTTTTTTTTTTTTTTTTTGGAAGAAGTCATTATGTAAAAAGAAACTCATGTTTTAATGCTTTTATATTAAAATGTGATTTTTTTAGCAATGTTTTAAAACAAACCCTATGTAAAAATTCTAGAACCAAAGTTATAATAAAAAACAATTCTAAAGTTTTCCATTTTAAAGGTCCATATGGTGTGTTTCCATTGCATATTAGGAAATTCCTTTTAATAAAGCTCTAGGACTATACATAAAATGCTTCTGTGTACACTGTTATACAAATTTGTAGTTACATGTGATTGAAAAATTAGCTTACTAGCATATCGGTGTAATTTATTAATTTAAGAAAATAAAGTGCTTGCAAAATTCCAAAGTATATTTTTTTGATTTCTCTGAGCTGGTATTAGAATTTCAAGTAATTTAATGAATTGTGTAAATAATATATCTATATCTATGTAAAACTGCCAATTGTTTTGTCCCTAATGCAAGAACTTTGAGAATTGTAATTAAATTTGAAACTGTAATAAAGACTTCAACTCATCACTTTTGTCTAAAAAAAGTAATGATTATGCATGCAATATTGTTTAACTCATCTGCTGTCAGGGTAAAATAATCTGAAACTTTACCAAAAATTGAATAAATATGGAAACAACATGAAAATATGCACATGACATGGCACATGATTGGCTCTTAGATGTATGGATTGGCATTTGACTAGCACGAATGCATTAAATCTGTAATTATGCATACTTACAAATTTTAACTGATAAATATATTTTTATCTTCTTTTATAAATAATAAGAAAATAAAAAACAATTTAACAATTAATTTAAAAAATAAAAAACAAACTGTTTTGCGAGTAAATGAAGTTCATATAGAAAAAGCTGTAACAACTGATGTCGCATGTTAAAAAATAGTGATTGCTATTGAATAAATTGCTAGGAAGGTATAAATTTAAATTGATATAAGGTGTAAAATAGTTTTCTTCTCCTGATGCATTCATAAAAACATTGCATTAAAATTGTTTTGACTAACATTGCTATTTTAAAAATATAATTCTGAGTTCATTGAAATAAATCTGGTATTTTCATTATTCTTTCTGTATGTACCACTAAAATTTTTCCTTTTTTGTTTAGAGCATGTGATTTAATTTATTTCTGATCTAAGAAATTTTACATACAGTAAACCCTTGCCATAAACATGCAAACTATGTCAAATAATAATATCATGTGTGTAATAATAATCAATCATAATGAGGTCAATAATAAATACATCATCACATGCATGACAAAATTGCATTTGGCAAAGTTAATTTTCTATATAGTTCAAATTAAGAAAATGTGTATAATTTAAACAAACCCAATGTTATTGTAATTAAAAGGGAAAATGAAACCAATATTAATTGAAAAGATTTTTATTAGTACTTTAAAGTAGGTATATGATACAATATTTTTTAATGTATCATAAAATTGAAACTTTTCTACTTGGGATAATAATTGACTCAGTTATTTAAAGTTTTGCATTAAGGAATGCACAGTTAATGCCTTTTATTAAATATTCTCTTCTTTCTGTATTTGGGTCAATCATCATTACAAAATCAGTCAGTTCCTGTGACTTTTGTGACAAGTTGCTTAACTGCTTATAAGTTAAAAGTGCGTTTTCTCCGCCTTCACTGTTGCTGCTTTCATATTTGGCTGGTATTATGGGGTCATTCAGATCTTCATTTGTCATTTCTCAATCTTAATACTCGATTAATTCTTATATCTTTTCTTCTTTGATAACAAAAAATCCTTCACTGCTAGTTGCTTTTGCACTGTGTATGATTTCTGTGGCTGTAGCAACCTTGTCGATACTGTTCAGCATTCAGCATACTGCAAAAAAATCTGCATAGAACTGTTAAGCATTGAATAGCTTAAACAGTAACAATCAGGATAACACATATGTGCAAAATCGTGTTCAACGATTCCATGCTTATCAAGGGTTTACTGTATCTCACTTTTTTTTTTTGCTTTAAAAAGCTTCATTGTTTCAGGGGGAGGTGAAGTGTAAAAAATCTTGCAGTGAATTCTCTTAATTTGTGTGCTTTATCCTGTAGATCAAGCAAAGTTTAAATATATGTTGCATTCTTTTTTAGCTTGAAATTTATAATAATGCTGCCATAGTAATTAGTAATTCAACTCGAGCTGGTGGTCATGTAAGTAAATTGTTAATAATTATTAATATCCTTTATCTTATAAAAAATTGATTTTATGTGATTCAGTTGTTTAGCTTTAGTGGAAAACTTGATTATGTTTACTAAATAATAATTTAAATAAATTTGTTACACATCTTCTAATGAAATCTTCAATTTTTATATCATTTGTTTAGTTTTGTCGTTGGTAGCTAAAATGTGGGTTTGTGTGCAGTTGATTAATATAATTCAGAATGTACTGCATTATTAGTCCATAGAAGCAATTTGCCCTGAAAGACTATTAATTTCGTTTTGGCATTTTGCATTGGAAACTATAAATGGCAAATCACTTTTCAAATTGTTGCCACCAAATATTATCGCCTTGTATTATATTTGAAGAAATTAAATGATGAACAATCTGCATGAATGTATGTATGTTACTCGCATTGTGATAAAACAGGAGTACCTAGAGCCATCAAAATTTGAATAACATAATCTTCCATAGAATATGGGCATGTGGATGCCCTAATTTGAATTTAAAATTTGTTTTATTATCGATTTCATATTTTGTAACACTTCAACAATTTTTTGATTAAAAAAACTAAACGATTGTAAAGCGAGCAATGGCAACACTGTAAAAAAGAAACGTTTTTATCTCCAGTGCATTAGACTCTTGTATCGGAAATTCTAAATGGCGACACCGTAAAAAAGAAACATTTTTATCTCCAGTGCGGGAGACTCTATATCCAAAATTCTAAATTAGATATGCTCATTAAAAAATTATTTTGCTATATTATTGTTGAACTGAATTTTATGCTTTGAGTACATGATATTTAATAAATAAAGGTAGCACATAAAACATTAAAAAAATGCTGCTCTGGACGTAATTTAAAATTTGAAACTTTTCAGATTTTTTTTTTATTGTATGCATAAAATAAAATTTGTAAAATTTATTAATTGTATCTGTAGGTATGTGTGATTGCTAATTATAAATGTTATTGATTTTAAGTATGTTTTAATTAAAAGTAAATATTCTAAGCATACTTTATCACTACACTGAGAAATCAGGCTTTAAAATTTATAGCTTCTAATCTATCAAAAATTCTCTACATAAATTAAAATAAAATTTACAGTTTTTGTTACTTAGTCGTTTGAATGTTTCTTTTGATTAAATATCTTCTGAATAAATGTTTCACTCCATTTGATATTTTGAATAATTGTTTAAATTCGTATTTAGATTTTGAGGATATATATTGCTTCTTTTTCCTTCCTTGTATGAAGTAAAGGAAGTATTTTAATCACGAAAAATTCTGGGTACCCTATTTCCACAAAAATATTCATTTTGGTCTCTATCGAATACAATTTAACAAAGTTTTGGCATGACATCTGTACATAAGGACAGAATAAAAGACTTTTTCCCCCCAAATGAATTATAAAACTGACTTAAAATGGATTCAGAAGAGATTTTTCCATGGCATCTGTGCGTATGCACGTTACGTATATATATGTATGTATCTCGCATAAATTTTAAAAATGAATGGTCTCAGAATGTTGAAATTCTGTATATAGGACTGCTACAACATGTAGATGTGCACTTCCTTTTTTGGTTGCAATTGGCCACACCAAAAGTGTAATATATCCACTCTGTTACTCTACTCAGTGAGCTCAGTTTCTTTACTCTTATATGCATTTTTTGCTTTAAAATTCATTGAATTATGTTGTTCTTATCTACCAGTTAAGGTTTTTATCCTTTAGTTAACCTGCTTATTATAGTTGTAGAATTATTAGCAATTTCAAAGTTGTTTACGTGAGGCTAAGCCTAATTTTTTTACCATAGCAGCCATATTTGTTTACATTTAAAACAGCAGAATAGCGGATTTGTTGCTGATCTAGAGCAACTAAGCAGCGCAACAGCAAAGTAACGTCTTCTTTTGTCATTGCGAATTAAATTATGTTTAATCAATTCAGTTATTAAATTTTCCCATATATAAACTCAGCATAGCGTGCACAACAAATTAAATCAGTTTCTATGCCTTCAATGTCTTTTTGCCGAGCGAGACCAAAAGTTAACTTTCGGTTTTGTGCACCGAAAAATCTGTCTTTTTGCCGCTGGCCGAACTGCTTGTTTTTGTGTAGATACTGTAATTTAAATTGTGAAAGTTTTTTTTTTTTTTTTTTTTTTTTTTTTTTTCAAAAATTTTGTTAGTGCAGAGCTAAATTGAAATTCTCCTTATCATTCGAGATATATCACATCACAGAATCGCTTATCAAGCAAAGTATGAAACTTGTACTGAGCATTAAACTCAGTAGTGGAACAGTCTGCAAATGCTTTAAATTGAACTGACTGACGCTTCAGCAAAGCCCTATATATTCATCTATAGATAGATGGGAAAATAAGTCACTTCTATCAGAATTGGTTAAGTCCTTTAAAAATAAATTTTCTGGAAAATTAGAGAATGATGTCAAGTCACTTCTAGAAACATCTATCGGAATTGCTTAAGGCCTTAGAAAATATATTTTCTGGAAAATTGGAGAGTGCTGTCAAGTTGGTCCGAGATCTCGAAATGTTAGTAAATGTTAAGAAGTTTCTATCTGTATCTCTGGTTCTAATCAAGTTATCCATATAACTCTAATGGCAGTCAACTCGGAATTAAGAACTCTACAAATTAATATACACTCTTTAAAAAAAAAAAAAAAAAAAAAAAAACGACGCACTCTGAAGGAGTTATCCGAATCGGACAAAAATTGGTAGAAGTGATGTACATGTACAGAAAAACAAATGCTTACAGTTTGAGAAAAAGTGTATGATTTATTGAAGCGATAGAGCTTCACAAAGAGAAAAAGTCAGTAACACGTTTGTCCACCTCTGGCCCTTATGCAAGCGGTTATTCATTCGACTTAGCATCGATTGATAGAGGTTGCTGATGTCCTCCTGATGGATATCGGGCCAAATTCTGTCCAACTGGCGCGTTAGATCGTCAACAGCCCAAGCTGGTTGGAAGGGCCCTGCCCATAATGCTCCAAACATATTCAATAGGAGAGATATCCTGTGACCTTGCTGGCCAATGAAATGTTCAGCAATCACTAAGGCAAGCAGTAGAAACATGTGCAGTGTGGGGGCAGGCATTATCTTGCTGAAATGTAAGCCCAGGGTGATGTGACATGTACTGCAACACAACGGGGCGTAGAACTTCGTCGATGTACCACTGTGCTGTAATTTTGCAACAGATGACAACCAAAGGGGTCCTAATATGAAATGAAATGCCACCCTAGACCATTACTCCAGGTTGTTGGCGTGTCCGTCGGAAGACAGCCAGGTTGGTATCACACCGCTGCCCGGGGCGTCTCCAGATTCGCCTTTGCTGGTCATCGGGGCTCAGTTCAAAGGGGGACTGATCACTGAAGACTATTCTACTCCGGTCAGGGACATTCCAGTGCGAATGAGCCCGACATCACTGCAAATGGGCTTGACCTTGTACAGAGGTCAATGGTAGTCGACGCAAGGGGCTTATTCTATGAGCCATCTATGAATGGTCCTTGCGGTCACTGAAGCATTAGTTGCACATACAATCGATGATAATGATGCATCTGGGGCTGTGAGTGCTGCTCTGACGATTGCTCGTTCTTCACATTCTGTCGTTTCTCTAGGCCTACCGCTTCCTTCTTGATGCTGTTTGCGGTCATGGTTCACCCATTCCTGCCAACATCGTCTAATAGTGGCATCACTCCTGCTCAAATGTCGAGCTATTCGCCAATAAGACCAAGGGCCTTCTTTGAGTCCAATTACACAACCTCTCTCAAATTCTGACATCTGCGCATATCATTTGCGCATCTGCATGCGAGGCATATTTACTGTCTACCAGAGTACATGGAATGAAATTTGTGAAGAATTTGTGATCTGGAATCATAATTTCTCCTCTTAAATATCCTGCCAGTTGCGCAGATCAGATACACTGTAGTGACAACTGTTCATTCATTGGCAGCCAAAATGCAAAATTTTGCATTTTCCTTCGAAACCTGTATGCATATCAATTTGTGTCCAACTCCTCTCAGTGCGCTGTGGTGCATAGGGTTTTTTTTTTTTTTTTTTTTTTTTTTTTTGTCTAAGAATGTATGTATACATATAATGTTGTATGATCTTAAATTCGTATAGTGCGAAAACAAGTTACTACTACTTGCACAATTGCTGCTAAGTAAGTTAATAATAATTTATTTACTAAAGAATATTGATGAATTGATTATATTATCTTCTACGTTTAATTATAGTAGGATTATCTTAAAAGAGTTAATCCATACTAGTAAGATATATTTTGAAAGATGTTTTGAAGTAACTTGAAAGTTAATTGTTAAAAATGTTTTAATGGGGACTGGAATTAAATCATGAATAACAAAATTTCAATTGTAAAAGGAATAAATTAAATGCAGGTAATCATTGTCATTGATCGTAAATTAGTTGACTTTTCAAGGGGAACAAACCAACTCCCGTTCAATAAACAATAATTAATAAATAAATACGAAGGTGTTTTGTCTTTATTCGAGCAATAAGGCTAAACCAAACCGGCAATTCAAGTCAGGCCAAATATTTCCGTGAATAGAAGGGATTATGAACCAATGCTGATATTCAAAGAACTTATTCCTATTAAGCATTTTAGCCAATTCAATTTTGAGTGAAAAGCAATTTCTCTAGTAAAATTTCGATAGTTGCTCAAGTAACCGTCCCCCGACAAACTCGTGTTTATGCATTTGAGTTCAATATTATTTGTAAAAATTAAACATTGGAAATTGTCATTATGAAATAGAATTCAAAGTAGTTGAAATAAATGTTAGAAAATTAGAAAATATAAGATAAATAATGCAAACTTTGTAAAATTGAATCAAAAATATAATAAAAATAAAAAACATATAATAAGAAAAGTGAAGTGAAGTGAATGTACATGAAGATATAAAGGCCAGAAAAAGTATTAATTAACTTACATTCTTTCTAGTGGGGAGTGGGCAAAGTGTTGTCTTCGTGTCTGACTCAGAAGTGTAGTGTTTCCGAAAATTCTTTAGCGACAACACACAAACTTATAAACTTTAAATAATTTCAAGCATAACAAATTTGAGATTTAATATATTAACTATAAATAAACATACAATTATGACACAAAATACACGATAAAATACATAAAAGCCAGATACAAACAACCACAAAACTATACATAAATTACGAAAATACTAAATAAAAGTTTCAAGCGACAGTGCTTTTCTCAAGTTCATAAAATACTGTAGTATTTAGTATTTGGTTCATGAAACATCGTGTTTATTATATAAAAAACAAGTTTTGGAGCAAACTGTTTAAATGCATTGTAAAGTTGAGTATATGAACAAAAAAGAAAAATCTTTGCTTTAAAATTTATATAAGTAAATTGTGTTTTAATTTGCAGATTCTTCAAAATCTTCATATGATTGCTTCTTGGATAATATTAGGGGGTTTGCAGTACATTCTAAATTTGAACCCTTCTCAGCTGGGTGACAGAAGTAAAGATCAATCATCAAGAGGAAAAGTAACACCAGATCAAACTCCTTCTAAAATGAAAGATTCATCTACTGCAACTAAGCCGATAATATTAAAAATGTTAGTATTTTTAAGAAAATGTTTTATTCTGTTATATGAGTTAATTTTCTGAAATTTTAACAAATAATCATTTCAAATTTAAGTACAGGGTGATGTTTTTTAAAGTGACAGTGTCTGGAGCGCCCTGTAGTGCGATTTAATAGACGAAATGGTACTAAACTTGGTATTTACACTAATCAAGACATGGGACATCAAGACATACAATCAAACAGTTAAATTATTAATGTTTATTTACTACATTAACTTCCCCGATGAGGAATTAGACTGCATTCAATGTGAGCACCGTTCTCAGAAATAACACTGTGCATAACGTTCTCCACAGCCGTATGTAACATATCATGAGAAATATTCCGCACTGTCTTTGTTATGTTGTCCTTTAGAATAGACAAATTTGATACTCCACCAACATGAACTTGAGATTTCAAATAACCCCAGGTCCAAAAATCGCATGGCGTGAGGTCAGGGGAACGAGGCGGCCATGCAGCTGGGAAACTGCGACATATAACTCTATCGTCAGTGAAGTTTTGGCGCAACAGCTGCTTTACCTTATTACTAATGTGTGGCGGAGCACCATGCTGCATAAAGATTGTCTGTTGGAGACGGTTTCTTTGCTGAAGTTGTAGTATAACAAACGTTTGAAGCATTTCGTGATACCTTTCTGCATTTATGGTGCACATTTGGGGTCCTTTCGGAGTGATCTTCTCCACAAAGAATGGCCCAATTACGAATTCATCTGTGAAACCACACCAAACAGTGACTTTTAGGGAATTTAATGGGATTTCGTACACGGTGGGGGGCTGCTCAGAAGCCCAAATTCGGCTATTTTGTGTGTTTACTGACCCATTGCGATAAAAAATGGCACTCATCTCCCCACAGAATGTGCCATGAGAAAGCATCATAAGCCATGGGAATGTGCCATGGGAAAGCATCATCATTTCTACCCTGGCAAGAAACGATAGAGCGAATGTCACTCGCTTATCATAACCACTTGGTTTCAGTTTGTGCAAGCGGCTGATTTTGTAGGGGTTGTGGTGATGGCGATAAGGAGCGCGCCTTGCGCCCTCCGATAAGTGTGGCAACCCTAGAGGAGAAGTTTCTTACGAGTAGCAAGCAGAGCGAAACAGGCAGGCTGTCGGGCAGTGTGCGCGAAGTTCCTAAATAAAGCTTAATTTTTATTGTGCACTATGTCTTGTTAATATTATATTAATGCAGTAAGAACATAATCTGTGATATGGAATTTGAGGATTGGTGGTAAAAACATAACAGGAAATCTCCATAATGGTAACCCGGACTGTGTTAAATCGTATGAACAGTTCTCAAGCACTTTCGGTTTTGACTACAAGCCATCACTCAAGACCTCCAAACCAGAAGTAATGGATTACATCGGTTTTCGTCCTCCGGATCACAGATGAGTAGTAATTATAGATCATTTTATAATTCTGTTTTCTACTTATCATTTAATTTCATTTTCTTTAGTTAAATTTTTGCTTTTATTTTTGGCTTAAAAACCTTGCACAATGTCTGATGTTCATGCCGTCCAAATTGCGGTTTATAACCGATCAGACCCATCTTTATGGTTTATTATGTGTGAAAAGTACCTTTGCTCTTGCCACCCCCTAAACCTAGCACAGAATCCATTACTAAATATAATTATGTAGTTGCTCATCTTCCTCCAGATATCGCATCACTCTAGTACGGGATTTACTTATGAAACCAGATCCTATTGATCCATACAAAGCTTAAAACTGAGTTAATAAATCGTGCAGGAGAATCTTCTCAGCAAGAAATTTCGCCAATTATTATCTGGAGAGGAATTAGGTTCTTCGAAAACCTATCCGATTTGCTTAGAAATATGAAACGTCGAGCAGAATCTTTAAATGTTCCCTGATAACTTAATGTTAGAATTATTCCTTCAACGTTTGCCTTCGAACTGTTCAGTCTATTTTTGGCAGCGGTTTCCAATTTAACTGTAGATGCAGATAAAGGTGCAGAAATTGCCGACAGAATTTTAGAAGTAAATCCAACCCCAGGGACTTGTGCCGTTTCTCGCACAGTCGATCAGTCTCTTGAGGATAAATTATTTAAACAAATAGAAAATTTAAACAAACGTATTGATCGCATTTCTCTTTCTCTTTCTCGTGGTCGCTCGCCAAATCGCGGAGATCGCAATAAGGAAAGAAGCAATTCCAAAAGGAGAGATTATTCTGTTTGCTGGTATCATAGACGTTTTGGGAAAAGTGTAGAGATGACAAATGTACAAAACCTTGTTCATGCAGGGAAACGAAATCAGCAAAGAATAGAGGCGACTTATTCTTTGCCTCAAGTTTCACGTCGCTCGCCCCCCCCCCCCCCCCCCCCCCCCCACCACCCCCACCCCCCCCCCACCCCCCCCCCCCACCCCCCCCAGCCCCCAAGCCCCCCCCCCCCCCCCCCCCCCCCCCCCCCCACCCCCCCCCCCCCCCCCTACCCCACCACCCCACCCCCCCCCCCCCCCCCCCCCCCACCCCGCCCCCCCCCCCACCCCCCCCCCCCCCCCCCCCCCCCCCCCCCCCGCCCTCCCCCCCCCCCCCCCCCCCCCCCCCGCCATACCCCCCCCGCCCCCCCACCCCCCCCACCCCCCCCCCCCCCCCCCCCCCCCCCCCACCCCCCCACCACCCGCCCCCCCCACGTCGTGCCCCCCGTTCACCCCCCCGTAGAACAAACCTTTCATTCTTGGTCGATACCGGCTTCTGACGAGTCCTTACTTCCAGCAAATAATTCTCAAAAACGGAATTCGTCCCAACAAACATTTTTCGCTGCTAATTCTTCAACTTATTCATGTTTATGGTCAAAAAACACTTTCTTTGGATTTCAAATTAAGAACGAACAGCTTACATGGACTTTTCTTCTTATAGCAAATGTTAGTACACCCATTCTTGGAGCAGACTTTCTCCATTTTCTTTGAATTGGTGCCCTGATTTCAGAAACAAATGTCTCAAAGATTTAAAAAACGCAGTTTAAAACCGTCGGCTGCGTGAAAAATGCAGGCATTTATTCAGTAAAAACTGTGTTTGGTGATATACCATATCACAAAATTTTAAAAGAATTTTCCTTCAATTACTAAGATTACCGAGATCCTAACCAACCTGTTAAACACAACACCGTTCATTATATCATAACTAAAGGTTCCACCTGTGGTTTGCAAAACCTCGTTGGTTAGCTCCAGATCGCTTAAAAATAGCAAAACAAGAATTTCAAACTATGATGCAATTGGGGCATTTGAGACCTTCGAGCAGCAATTATGCATCCCCCCACTTCACATGGTTCCAAAAAGGGAAGTCTGGAATGGAGACCTGTAGGAGATTATCGAGCATTGAACGCTCAAACGATAAAAGACAAATACCCTATTCCATGCTTAGCCGATTTTACTGCTGCATTGCACGGTACTAAAATTTTTAGTCATGTCGACCTGATTAAGGCATACCATCAAATACCAATTAACCCAGCCAACATCCACAAAATCGCCATATGCACACCATTCGGTTTATTCGAAAGTATCCGTATGCAATTCGGCTTATGCAATGCATCCGCGACTTTTCAACGTTTTATAGATGAAGTCACGCGGGATTTAGAAGGCGTTTACGCTTTTGTCGATGACTTGCTCATAGCCTCTAAAGATTCTGAGGAACATTGCAGGCATTTGAAAGCTTTATTTTCCAAACTTCAGGAATATGGACTTTGCATAAATGTTTCAAAATGCACCTTTGGTCAAACATCTATTGATTTCTTAGGTTTTCACCTTAGTGAAAACGGAATTGAACCTCTTCCTGACAAAGTCAAATGTATTTTAGATTTTCCTCAACCTACCACTCTCACTCAGCTTTCGCCGATTTTTAGGCATGTTTAACTTTTATAGATGTTCATACCTAAAGCAGCAACATATTCTTTCTCCTTTAATAAAATTGTTAGAAGGCTATATTAATAAAAAGAAATCTCGTTCTCTCGTGTTCAGGATTCATCCCCACAATTAAATTGGAACGAGAATGCTGAACAAGCCTTTATTGCTGCCAAAAATGCCATGCTCAGGCTACCCTTTTGAGACACCCTATTTCCCGGGAGCCCAGCTAAGCATCTGGGTAGATGCCTCAGATGTCGCAATCGGCGGCACACTTATGCAGTTGTCTCAACAAACATGGGAACCTATAGCATTTTTCTCTCTCTATGAAACTCAATAAAAGTCAACAGAAAAATGGTCCGCGTACGATAGGGAATTATTTTCTATTTATTCTGCAATTAAGAAATTCCGACAACATGTTAGAGGGCAGAAATTTTATAATTTATACGGATCAAAAAACCGTTAATATACACTTTTAAACAGAACCCTCATAAATGTTCACCTCGACAATTGCGCCATTTAGATTTTATTTCTCAGTACTCTACTGATATTAGGCATGTGCAAGGTTCAAAAAACGTCGTTGCTGACGCTCTTTCAAGAATCGAAATTGATTCCATAACAAAATCTCCATTTTTGGATTTTAAAAAATTTTCGGAAGCTCAACGGCATGATCCGGAGGTACAAGACCTTCTCAAAAACAACACATCATCTTTGAAACTGGAATTTAAAACCGTGCCAATATTCTGATGGTAATATTCTTTGTGACATATCAACAGACATTCCTCGTCCATTTGTTCCGAATTCCTTTCGCAGATCATCTTTAATCATCTGCATAATCTGTCACATCCAGGAATTGCAGCTACTACGAAGCTTATTTGTTCTCGTTATGTATGGCCCGATATGAAACGTCATATCAAAAATTGGGTGAAATCCTGTGAATCTTGCCAAAAATCGAAAATTACTAGGCATACTAAAAGCACCACTGGGCACATTCTCTCTTCCTGATGCACGTTTTTCAGAAATCCATATGGATATCGTCGGACCGTTACCTCCATCAGAAGGCAACGTGTACCTTTTGACTCTAATAGATAGATTCTCCAGATGGCCTGAAGCCATTCCCATCCCG